CACTTGTGATGTATTTTTGATGGAACTGAAGTTTTGATGTTACTGGAATTACAGTTTTGCCTTTTACAGGTTGAATCAGAGTGCTTCTGGAGTGAATATTGCATGAATGGATGGACTTTCAATAATCCCCTCTGGGGCTGTCCCATTGTCCTGGCACTAGCCTTTCCCACTAATCCTCGGTCATTATTCTCTCATGGATCAGATGTCCTCGTACACATGGGATCCATTTCGGAGGCATCTCATCTGCTTTTGTTTTTGTCTACAGCAGCTCCAATGTCACACTGAAATGTTACAGGTTTTATACTCAGTCGTTAATCTAGGGGAACAAGTTTTTTCTACCTTGTTCTTTTTGAAGAATATTGTGGCTGGCATTGGAGGGATGACTCAGCTGTTAAGAATACTTACTGCTCTTGCAGAAGACCTGGGTTCAGTTCGAAGTATCCACATCAGGTAGCCCACAACCTCCTGTAACACTGGTACCAGGGAATGCAACACCCTCTTCTGGCCTCCTTAGGTACTACATGCATATGATGCACCTGCGCCCATGCAGGCACACACACATATGCAAAAATAAAAATAAATCAATAAATAAGCTGTCTTCTTTTTGAAGGTTGTGGCTGGTTTTAACCCTTTTCATTTTCAGATCAGATAGGCGGCCATTGGGATTGTACTGATCTGAAGTTACTGTGAGAGAAGTCGATATTCTCACAATAGTGTGTCTTCTCACTCTTTGGTATTATATTTATCTTTTGTTTAATCTTCTCCAAGATCTCTCATATTAACAAGGGAATAGGTCCCTCTTATACCCTTTGTCTAATACTTTCCTAAATATTTCATATTGTACAAATTTCATTTTGCATTTATTGGTGATCTGTCTAGGAAATATTGATTGTATCAAAATACTGTATATTCTTTTCATAATTCGTCTGTAAATCTGCAGTTTTGTGCACATATTTGGTTATCTCGTCGCAATACAGTGCTCTCCTCTTCTGCCCTCTCCTTCCACGAGTCTCACCTGCCTGGCCTTTTGCCCTTGCTGTCCTGGTCTTGCTGGCTCTCCTGTACAGTGTGAGGAGGAGCCAGGGTGAGTATGCATGCCCATCTTGCCAGACCCAGAGAGAACGCACATAAACATCTCCTCTGTGGTGGCTTAGCTTACTGTGTTTCCGTGTACTCTGATCGGATTAAAGCAGTGCCTGTGTGTGTGTGTTCCTGGTCTTGTAGGAAATGAGTACATACTGAATTTAACAAGAGTGGATTTTTCATTTCTATTGAAACAATCACATCATTTTCCTTCTTAAATTTCTTTCCTTGGTTTATTTTGTTTGTTTTGAGACAGAGTCTCTCCGTGTAGCCCCAGCTGGCCTGGTATTGGCTGAAGTCCTCCAGCCTGCAGCCTGAGAGCTGGGACTATAGGAATGAGCAACCACGCCCAGTTAAAACTGTGAATGGGCTAAAATCCACAGTGTAAACCAGATTGAAACCTCAGATTAGCAAGGATAGATCCTTTTTATTGCTTGGTTTGTTTTCTTCTGCTTTTTCCTCTAAGCTAGTGAGGAAGGTTGGCCTGCATCTTCCCTTGACCACACTTGTTAGACTGCTATTACTGAGTCTTCACTCAATCTTCCACCACCTTTGAGGAAGGGTCTCCCAGTCAAACCTAGAGCTAATGGATATGGCTGGTCTCGACAACCAGCTTACTCCAGGTTCCCCTTCCAAGGCTGCAATCCAGGCGGTCACCACACCTGAAAGAGCATTTGCTTGACTTCCGGGGATCTGGATTCCAGTCCTACCGCTTGCTTATGTGGTAAGTGCTTTAGTTACTGACCCAACTCTTCAGGCTATAGCCCTGATTTTTTTCTTCTAATACAAATAATTAAGGCAGTTCATATTTTTCTATTTTAAAAACTGGTCTTAGCCTACCCCCACAGATTTTATATGTATATTTTAGTACCATTAAGTACAAAACCCAAAAAACTTGTAATTTATATTAGGATTTTCCCTTGGCTTGTATTTTACTTAAAAGTATGTGCCATCCCTGTTGGGGAGACTCCCCCAAACTAGGAACCCTAGGTTCACCCGAGGCAAAATCTGAGTCCAATGGTCACCTTGAAGGGAGACAGAGCTAGCCCATTCTTCAGTGTAGGTCCTGTTTGTGTGCATGTGTGTGTGTGTGTAAGTATGTGTGAAAGTGTGTGTGCACACATCTGTATGCAAGTGTATCTATGAGTGTGTGTGTACAAGTGTGTGCATGTATATTTATGTATGTGTGAGTGAGCACACATGTGTTAGTATGTATGTTTGAAGTTGTTTTGGGTTTTTTGGGGGGCAGAGTCTGTCTATGTAGTCCTGGCTATCCTGGAGCTTGCTATGTAGACCAAGCTGGCCTTGCACTCAGAGAGATCCTCCTGCCTCTGTCTCCCTAGTGCTGGAATTAAAGGTGTGTGCCTCTATGTCCAGTCTATTTTCATATTTCCATTTTTTGTATCACATTTGTCTTTACAGCTGCACAAACCCCATAGGATGTATGTACCACATTTTCTTTATGTTAGGTATTTTCTTAGACGAGCCTCTCTGCCTACGCAAATAATCCCAATCAGACCGAATTAAAGATGCCAATGTCTAATGGAATGCTCCTGGGTGGCCCTGGGGAAACATGGAGAGGGGAAGAGAGAGAGGAGACCGCACATTCATTCTCTGGGGGCAGCTTAAAAAGCCTGTGGGAGTGTTCCTGACCCTCCCTGGGGAGAGGTTAACCGTTTGGCCGGCTTTCTCTGAGGTGGAGTTTGGACTAAGGCAACTTCCCAGGGGAGGGAGCTTGGGATGGAGTTTTCCACCCAACATTCCAAAAATGGATACCAGGGGGCTGGGGTGAAGCCCCCGACTAAATATGCCAGACTCTTTGTATAAAGGGGTGCCAGGGAACTGAGGTGATGTTTCCGACCAAACACTTTACCCATCCATGTACTGATGGACATGTAGGCTCCCTCCACCGTTTAGGTGCTGTGAAGCAGCAAACATGGATGTGCACGCGCCTGTGTGATGTGTCTGTGGGCTTAGACTCCTTCGGGTACAGTGGTGGCGCACGCCTTTAATCCTAGCACTCGGGAAGCAGAGGCAGGGGATCTCTGTGAGTTTCAGGCCAAAACTTTTGTCTTGAAAAACCAAAAACCCAAACAAAACAAAACTGTATTCGTTTCATTAGCCCAACGGGTTGGGGGATTCTAGGCTTCTGGTGTTGAGCTTCTGCAGTTCTTCTAGAATACCTGTGATGAAAACAACATTCTCTTGTGCACGCCTCTGCACCCTCAGGCCCACACCACCCAGCTTGCATTGCTTTCTAGATTCCAAAAAGTGTTTAAACCTCTTTTCTGTTGCTAATGTTATGCCCACATCATGAGCCCCCCAGAGACCACCAAGAGTCCCAGTTCCTATGTAAAAGCAAAGAGCCTTTATTGCAGGCTCAAACATGGGCTCTCCATCTGTTCCGACACAACAGTTGGATTAGGGAGAGCTCTGAGCTCAGCTATGGCAGGGTTTTTAGGAGTAAAGGGTAGGGGATTCAGATCGGGGTTGAACTCCTGATTGGGCAGGAGTGGGGCAACAGTCTTGTCAAACAGGGATTGGTACTACATTGCTGCAAGGAAAATCCTAACCTATATACAAGTTAGGTAAGCTATTCTTAATTTTCTGGAGCATCTAGTACTTGTTTGTCTCAATTCTAATTGGTCCCCCATAGGGTACAGTTTGCGTTTTTTCCTGGTTATTTTAAGGGTGGAGCCTAGTCCCAGTATTATTAGTCTGCAGCCCATCATGGCTCCACTAATGTTAAGTTAGGCCTCTTTAGCCAGTTTTTTTTTTCCTATTGCTTCGTGAGTTTGGTTTATTTTTTGTTTGTTTGTTTGTTTGTTTGTTTGTTTTTGTCTTTTGAGATGTGATCTCATGTAGCCCTGGCTGGCCTCAAAATTCTCAAAGTGGCAGACAATGATTGTGATGGCTGTTCTTGTTTGTCAAGTTAGTTAATCTGAAATTAAATAAAACCCAAATGGCTGGATATACCTGTGGCAGATTTTTGTTCTTTATTATTTTTATTGAGCCATACATTTTTTCCCCACTCCCCTCCCTTCCTCTTCTCTCTCCTTCTACACTCTCCAGTGGCCCCCATGCTCCCAATTTACCCAGGAGATCTTGTCTTTAGCTCCTTCCTATGTAGATCCATGGATGTGTCTCTTAGGGTCCTCTTTGTTGTCTAGGTTCTCCAGGTTTGTGGCCTGTAGGCTGGTTTTCTTTGCTTTATGTCTAAAAGCCACTTATGAGTGAATACATATGATATTTGTCTTTCTGGATGTAGGTTGGATTTTTTTTTCTTAATTAAAGCATCTGAAGTGGAAAGACACATTTCTAATCCAGATCTTTTAAGGTGGTAAATCTACCTTTAAACTGGGCTATATCTTCTGCTAGCAGCCTATATTAAGGACACAGAAGGAGGAAGCTTGGTCTCTCTGCCTGCTTGTTCTTGCTGGCAGGTCCATCCCTTCACTGGCATGACAGTCGACTTTGAGATTCCGGCATATACTGAAGACCAGACAGCCAGCCTCGAGAACTGAACGACTACTGGATTCTTGGGCTTTCTGTTGACAGACAGCCATTGTTGGACTTGCTGGGCCACAGCCTGGAAGCCATTCTAATAACCCCCCTTTCCATATATAAAATGAATGAATATTTGTATATTCATCCTATCAGTTCTGCTCCTCTAAGCACCTGACGAGTACAACGACCTTGGACTCCGGGCCCTCCCCCTCACCTCCTGAGTGCTGGGGTTACAGGTGTGTGCCACCACTCCTAGCCGGTTTCTCTTTCTGCCACGTAAGGAGATGTCTAGAGGAGGAGGAGGACTAGGGTGTGGCTCAGTGTCACGGCGTTTGTCTAGTGGTAGTGAAGACCTTGGCTTTCAAACCAGCCATGCCAAAAGGAAAAAACGATAAAGAGAGAAGACACTATTCCCAATCTGCCACTTTTAATCAGAGACCATGCATAGGATTCAGGCCAACATTAGGTTAGCAACAGATACAGGCGGACTTAGTATGTTCCAGAGCTAGCATGAGAGAGCAGGCAATATACAGGAGACTGAAGATCTGTGCCTCAGGGTCACAGTGCACTTCCTGGCTAAGCCGATCGCCCCAGTTCTTCTGGAGGATTGACTCTACCTGAAAGGAAACTCACCATATTAAAAGCTAGGAGCTCTCACACACGTTCACGCACACGCACACAGACCACAATGGCCAACAGCTGGCCACAGCCCTTCGTTCTGAGCCGTGACAGACATGGCATTCCTCCTGCAAAATTGAAGAACCTCACACCATCTCCACATAGCAGCAGGCACTCAGGATGGCACCGGACGCCATCTTGGACTAGTTTTTTTCTATCCTCTTTGCCCACAGGCAGGCAGCAGAGCATGTCAAATATCCTGGTATGTACGTATGCCCAGAGACTTGTCACAAACCTGTTGCACAGACATGAGCAGGCAGTAACCACACAGTAGAAAGGACTGTACTGTGGGGTTTCCAGGTCCTTTCAGAACACAGGCACTGGTCTCTACTATGGCCCTAGTCCTCTCTATCCAGTGTCTCACCTGGTCCCTCAGCAAAAGCAGCTCCCCATTCTCCAGTGCTTTGTTCACACACTTGGCTATGCCAGACAGGGCTGGAAGCAGAAAAAGGTTGTTAGTAGAAAAGGCGAGGGACATGGTGGCTTTGGTGGTGATCTTCAGTGGCTCACCACATATACATCATCAGAGGGTTTCAGAGAGCTCCCAGGAGGCCTGGTGGGAACATTCCAAATGTTTCCTGCTCCCCTGTTAAAATATGGAACATTATAGACTATACAAGAGGGAACAGGGCGATTCCCCCTCAATATCTGGCCTGGGAAAGACTGACAGTCTCTGAAATGCTGAGGGCTACCCCTCATGGAATATACATACTCCCTAAGATTTGATTCTCCACCAGCCTCCTTGCTCAGCATTTCCTCCTCACCTATTAAGGCATCCAAGAGTATCAGCACGGCTTCCGCACGTGCTTTTACCAAGCGCCCGACTTTATCATGAAGGATGCAAATGAGACCTTCTGGGCCCTCAGTCTGCCTCGAAGCATCAGAGAACAAGATATCAGAAACCTGGGAGGTAGGAGAGGGGGAAGTTAAGTATGGTTCTGTCCAGTTGATTCCCATCCTGCCATCTGCCCTCCACAGTCCTCTGTGTCCACCCCAGTTCTTCCTTAGGGTCGCTTACTTTCTGTTCCAGGTTCTCCAGCCCCCCTTCCTTGATGGCGCATGAAGTGGCAGAGCACAGCACATCCTTCTGCTTCTCATCCAGTTCCCGCAGGCTTCTCCCTGTGTTCTCTACGTGCTCCTTCAAAGTTCCAGTAGTTTCCTCTCTTCCTAGAGCCGTTTCTATAAAGACAAAAATTATGAACCCGACTCACTGTGCCAACAGGCTTCATTTGTAAAGTCTACTATACCTTGTCCCAACCCACCCCCGAGATAGTCTCATGTAGCCCAGGCTCAAACTCACTATGTAGCCAAGGATTGCCCTTCTTTCTGATCACCTTGCCTCAAGAACTGGGATCACAATAGGATGCCACAATGCCTGGCTAGACCCTATTTTAATCTACTTTTTGTTTTTGCTGTTGTTTTTACCTCATCTCTGTGTTTTGCCTTCTTCTAATTTGTTCTGTTAAAATGAAACTCCTCTTCCGACATGCCTATCATCACCCATTTACTACTCCCTAGTAGTAAATTTACTACTCCCTAGTTCACCCATTTACACCCAGTTTGACATATCCAGAAATAAATGTGGTTGTTTAATTTTCACCAAAGTGTAGTCCCCAAAGCCAGGTGTAGTGGTGCACCTCTGTAATCCCAACAATAGGGAGGAGCAGGCAGGAGAATGGATCAGGAGTTCAAGGCCAGCCTCAGCTACTTAGGAACTTCAAGGCCAGCCTGAGAGATTTGCAGCAAGAGGAGGTGGGGAGAAAGAAAGAATGAATGAGGAAAGAGGAAGAAAAGAGAAAGCTCTGCCTCTAGGTTCCTGCCCTGTTTGAGTCCCTGTCCTGACTTCCTTTAATGACGAACAATGATATGGAAGTATAGACCAAATAACTCTTTTCCTTTCCCCATTGCTTGGGCCATGGTGTTTTACAATACCATGTAATATTAACCCTAACTAAGACACCAGCCTGTACCATTCTGCTGATCCCACCGAGTGGTAGTGTTACATCATATCAACCTGAGGATAGATGAATTCTGCCACACTGTATGTGGGTCTAGAGACAGGTAAGGCCCCACACATAGCTAATAAGTCCTCTCTCTGCCAAGGGAGGAAGTCTTCAGAGTCTCTGAGCATACCTAACCCCTATGGGCATTCTTTTCCCAGTGATGAGCTGCCATTGCCCATGTCAGGGAGCCCATGTCCTTACCGCATATAAATCATATCTGCAAGCTCCTTCCCACATCCTCGGCGATCTGCAGCCACAGGGCTGTGCCTGGGTGACTCGAGCGGCAGCCAACACCCAGAGAAGGTACACTATGCCCACCATCCCTTCCTGAGGCCTCTTTGGCAATATGACTGTCCTGCTTGGGGTACAAGGAAAGCCCCAAACGTTCCAGAGGAAGCACATACAGAGCCATAGACCTTCCTGCCTGGTCAGAAAAGTCCAGATTTGGGAGGCTATGAACAAGAGTGGTACGGCAGGGTACTTGAGTTCAGTGCGGTTCCTTCACCCACCCCATGCTAACATGTGGCCCTGGAAGGAGCCTGGGGGCCCTGGGCCAACAGTGCATCCAGGCTGCTCCTCCGCAGGCATGCTCCCTCCCTTCTGAACACATCCAACTACAGACTCAGCCATGCATTGCCTTCCATCTAATGATAACGTCCTTGCATGCTCTGAGACATGACCAGGTGGCCCAGGGGCTCACTCACCTCCCTGAAAAGACCTTCTTTTTTCATTCCAGAAGTCAATAACTAAGCCAACACCGAGAGGTGGAAAGAAAGAAAAAAGAAAGAATAAGAAAACAGTAGTCTCTGTAGCCATGCCCTCCTTTCCCTCCCTCCCAGTCCCCACACTGTTCCCAACCAAGGAAAGGAAAGGGAAGCTAGCGCCAATCTGGTCGGAGACTGGGATTGCAACCCTGCAGGGCAGGCTGATGCCATGGTGGGTGCATTCCCTGTCAGTGTGGCCAGAGCCAGCCTGGCCCTCGTGCCTTCGTCCTCTCCCACCTCTGGGCTCACCGGTTCCAGGCTGCTACAGAGCTCTGCTCAGTCCACACCCACCCACTCGTGTGTTTAGGGTCCCATTTCCTGTACCCACAGCATCTTGCTTACATATTGACCCATTTTCGAAGATGAGCTGCTTCTTTCGATAGGCCAGGACCATGTTGGCAGGGACGGTGATATTCCTTTGGCTCTAGGGAGAAAAAGTTTGTGTTGATGGATATTACACTGCTATCTTGCCTGATCTCACAAACACTCCTATGAGGCAGACAGTTTTATTCTAAGTCTACAGATGAACTAAGACTTTAAGACAAGTATCTGAGCCAGTCCTACAGCTGAAACCAAGGGCAGAGCTGAAATTCGAACCCATGTCTGACACCAAACCCATGCTGTTTCCACTGCTCATTTAACAAGTGTATACTGAAGACAAGCTTTGTGCCAGGGACTCTAGCTCCTCCTGCCTACCAGACAGGGAGACAGACAAGGGACAGAATAACCACGTGATAGAGACTGTCCAGACTGAGTGTGCTGATGCACACAGTAATCGCAGAGGCATGCAGATCTCCATGAGTTCGAGGCCAGCTTGATCTACATAGTGAGTTCAGGATAGCCAGGGCTATGTGGAGAAACCTTGTCTCAAAAGACCAAAAAAAATAAATAAATAAAACTAAAAGAAGAAAAGAAATGAAAAGAGGGCATCCTGAGTCAGCCTGTGACTCCTTCAAGGCGGCACACTCTTCCTCCACAAGGTACAGAGACCAGCCAGTGCTTCTCCAAGAGGCCTGAGGGAGGAGCTAAGAAGGCTGTCTTGGCAGGCACCCTGAGGGGGCTTCATTGGATGGCACAAGGCTGGCTGGTCCACACCCCATCTCCCAGGGTACTAACCTTTTTTTCATAAATAACCTTAAGAAATGAGTTCCAAATTTTATAGTGCATTTGTAGGGTTTCCTCCTCTTCTGTCTCCAGAGTTTCTGTTACCAGATATATATTTTCTTTCAAATTAATTGTTTTAAATGAAGTGGGTAGTTTCTGCTTTAACTTCCTAGAGGGAATGGAAGGGATAAGAGTTCAGGGCCTCTCAGTGACCTCTCCCTGTCCATCAACTACTACTTCCTTTTCAGAGTAAATGCCTGTAGGGTTGCCAAGCCAAGGGACATTACACACTGCAGCTATCACCCTGCTTTCTACCCACTGTGGGGTGGGGGCAGGGTGCTCAATGGGAAGGGATCTCACTAGCAGTGTGTTCCTGCCCATCACAGGTGGTGGGAGACTTCTTACCCCACCTATATGATGTAGGCAGCATTACAACTTTTTTTTTTTTTTTTTACTAAACTTGTTGGTTTGGTGGAGGTACATGATGGTTTGAGTGAGATGTCCCCCAGAGTCTTGGTTCCCAGTTGGTGGTGCTGTTTGGGAAGGATTAGGAGGTGTGACCTTGATGAAGTACAGCACTAAGGGCAGGCTTTGAGGTTCAACGCCGCCTGCCACCACCAGACCACTCTCTCTGCTTCCTGTTTGTGGTCGGAGATGTGAACTCTCAGCTTCTGCTTCCTGCCACCATGTCTGCTGCTTGTTACCAAATTTCCCCATTGTGATGGACTCTTACTAATGTGGATTACTATTAAGGCCAGCCTGGTCTACATTCAAGTTCCAGGCCCACCAGAGCTACAATAATTGAGACCCTATTATAAAACAAACAAAAATTTGTTTGCTAAAGAGATATCTCAGTGGTTAAGAACACTGATTGCTCTCCCAGTGGACCCAGGTTCAATTCCCAGCACCTTTATGGTGGCTCACAACTGTCTGTAACATCAGCCCCAGGAGATATGAAACCCTGTTCTAGCCTCCTTGGATACCAGGCATACACATGATGCACACAGTCATACATGCAGACAGAACATTCATACATATACATGAAATAAATTTATTTTTTTTAAAAAACTGAACAGTCGGGCTGGAGAGATGGCTCAGTGGTTGAGAGCACTAGCTACTCTTCCAGGGGTCCTGAGTTCAATTCCCAGCAACCACATGGTGGCTCACAACCATCTTTAATGAGATCTGGCACCCTCCTCTGGCGTGTGGGCATACAAGGAGGCAGAATGTTGTATACATAATAAACAAATAAATAAATAAAAACTGAACAGTCCAGGGTCACACAGCTCTTAAATATACAGCTGTGGCTCCAATCCTGGTCTACAAATAATCTAAAGCATCTATTTCTCATCACCTAAAGGTAAGTGTCTGGGAGGGCTGGTACCGCTGCTCTGAGAAGGGACTGACTGACTCTAACTTCTTATACTTCACCTGGCTTCTTTGCCTGTCCTCCAGCTCGTGAGACATCTCTGATTCCATAGGAAAATAATTTGTGACTTACAAAATAGCTCAAAGAAGAAGGGCCTCCAGGCAGGAGGTGGTGGTGGTGCACGCCTTTAATCCCAACACTTGGGAGGCAGAGGCAGGTGGATCTCAGTGAGTTCAAAGCCAGTCTGATCTATAGAGCAAGTCCAAAGACAGCCAGGGCTACACAGAGAAACTGTCTTGAAAAGCAGAAAGAAAGAAAGAAAGAAAGAAAGAAAGAAAGAAAGAAAGAAAGAGGGAGGGAGGG